CTGAAGGATCGCTCAGCCGAGGACGGTCCCTCCACGTCGTCTCGAGCGCAGGGTTCGGCGGCGCCTTTGGGAGATGCAGGCAGTCACGCGGCCGAGGCAGCGATGGCGAAGGGGAAATCACTACACTCCAGGGAAACTATCTTTTTGTAATTTTTTAATTATTATTATTATTTCTTTTTACTCTAGTGCTTCTGGCACTTGTGACAGGCTCGATTTTTCAGTTGTATGGTTATATCCATATTCTTTTTTGTTTTGTTTTTTTTACTTCATACTTGCGTAAGAGGCTATATGTAGCGTAACTGCAACACTATACGAAACTACACACGCGTTGATTTCCTCCGTACCACTTCCTTGGAAACTGTACAGCGCCGCATCAGTCACCACCAGCTCAAATCAAACTTCGACCTCAAAGGCAAAGTCCGACCTCTCGCTCCCCCAATCGTTTTGCTGGGTCAAAGGTCACGTCCGCAGTTCGTCTCCCTTCCGATCGTTCGCAGGGTCACCCTGATTCTGCAACGCACCGACGGCAGGAGCTGCAACTCCCCCTTTGACGAGCGCGGATGCCTCCCCCAGGATGTCCATGCCCTTCGGTCCTCCTCCCTCCCCCTCTACGTCAGCGTCGCCGACAGCGTCCGCATATCGGTCTCGACGACGAGACGGGGCGCTTGCGCAACGTCGGCGGGGACAGGGCGAGGGCGGATGGCGACGGGAAGAGGCGTGGGGGTGGCGACGCCAGGGCGGCAGGAGACGGAAGCGAAAAGAGTGGAGGAAATAAATGAGAAAGAGAGAAACCGAAAAGAGGGGGGTGGGCGCAGGAGGAGGAAAAGGACGGTGGATCACACGATGGGATGCGAGGGCGTGACGGACGAGCGATGTGACGGGCACGGAACCCCAGGGCACGGGCGCATTCACACACTGGGCTTGCTAAAGGGGCACTGGCACCGTGGCATCCGCGAAACCCTCACTGGCACCTGCCCCACGCCCACCCAACCAAACCCACGAACTCACCCACCTCCCCTCCCTGCTAGCAACGCCCCCCCCCCCTCCCCCCGCTGCCTGCACAAGCCCCACCTGCCACACTTATGAAGTTGGCACGCGGTTCGCATCTGGGAGGGAGAGGGGGGCGGTAGGGAATGGGGAGGGGGGGAGGGGGAAGGGGAGGCGGAACGAAGGTAGGGAAGACAGAGAGGGGGGGAAGGGACAGGGGTAAGAAATGCAGGAAGGAAGTAAGGAATGGTGGGGAAGAGCAAGAGGGATGCGGGATGAAACTGAAATGCGAGATTCTTCAGACTACCAAACGTAAACAATCTCTCTTCCTCACGAAAACCTAAGGCAAGGAGTGGACTAGACAGGCCTTCGGAGACAAAGGAAGGTAGGATGGATGCCGATATGAAACGAGTATAGGGAAGGACGAAAATAATAATGAAAACAAAATGTGCAGTAAAGCGAAGTGTATGGCCGACCTTTGCGTACACATGGCCGAGATAAACAAAGTTGTGTGGAGTCAAGAAGTAGCATATCTGCCGACTCCACACAGTCAGTCAGTCATGGTTTTCTGTCTCTACATCTGCCTCTGCCTCTGCCTCTGCCTCTGCCTCTGCCTCTGCCTCTGTCTGTCTTTCTGTCTGCCGGTTCGTCTATATGTGTATGTGTATGTGTATGAGTATGAATATGAGTATGTGTATGTGTCTGTCTATCTCTCTCTCGTTCTCTTCCTCTTCATTAAAGCTTATTTGCCTACCATCTTTATCTAAATACACAAACTCTTCTTCCGTTTACGTGTTATTTCCTCGCCCACCTACTTATTCTCCATCTTTATTCCAAGTCTTATTCCATTTCCCCATTCTCTTTGCACCTCCTCTTTCCAACTCCCTTTTTATCAAAGCTTTCCTTCACCTTATCTTCCACATCACTTATCTACTCCACTTCCCTCGATCTCCTCCCTCATTTTCTTATCTCCCCCCTTCCTTTTATTTCACTTTCCCTCACTTCCTCTCTCGAATCACCTTCTTTTCTTTCCTTCGCTTTTCAGTTTCCATCTTTCTCTCATATTCACGGTCATGCCACGTGCTTCCCATCTGCGACGATAAACAAACTTTCTATGAATAATCACCAGCTGTTTTTTTTTATAATACGCTTGACTCCCTGCCACCCTGACTGTCTTCCTGTCCGCCTACTTGCATGTTTGCTTGCCTGCCTTCCTGTTTGTCTGCCAGGCTGCCTGCCAGCCTGCATCTCTGTCTGTCTGTTTTCTTGACTAGCTGTCAGACTATTTGCATGACTGTTTGGTTGCTTCCGTGCTTGCCTTCCTCCTCCTCTGTCTGTTTGTCTGCCTGCCTGCCTTTGCCTTTCCGTCCGCTAGCATATCTGTTTGCTTGTCATTTTTCTTTGTCTGCCTGATTGCCTGCCTGCCTGCCTATCCCCGTGTGCTTGCCAGTCTGCTTGGCAGCCTGCTTGCCTGCCTTCCTGCTTTTCTATATACCTAGCTGCCTGCCTGCTT